ACAAAACGTTGCCGTGCGTCTAAATAAATAATATTCGATAAGATACGAAACATAATTATTATCGAAACCACAAATTTTTTTTCATAGTAAAATATAATATTATTCGAAAATACATTCAACGTATATATTACATACGAGTTACATTGGTGCTGGATTACGAAGTAAAATGTGCTTTGGATCGCCAAAAACGGTGTTAAATATTAATTTTCCTTTATAATGTCAATTGGGTATGGTGTAAATTAAAGGACATGCCTGTCATTAATAGTACCTATACAATTTATTAAAATAATAAACGATCTATTTAGTATTTATTAACCAATGGGACACAATAAATAAATTTGTAACAGTTGATGTGTAAGTCTTGGAAATATGTTTAAAAATATACAATAATAATATTTGATTTCAATATATTTCAGCTCCGATACATATGGAAATGCATTAATCTCAAAGGCAATTCTTTTGCATTTGAGATGTTGCCAATTGAAAAAATTTTATAATTTTTTCATTACCCTAAACAGTTTAAAAAAAGGACTGTCAACACAAAATTCTTATTCTTATTACTTGATAATTCAGTATCATTACATGAACTTAATGAAATATTTAAAACATTATTCAGCAGATCTTTATTTTCATGTCTTCAACGCTCATTTAACTAACATTTAACATATAACCTAATATAAGACCAAACCTTAGTTTTGAAAGATTTTTATGCAACAGGTGTCTCGATGAAGATGATACTGTCACTGTCGTAAGCACACTAGACAACAGAGCAATAGTTTTTAACGTGAATGTAATGAATGAATTCAATTCTGTTGATGAATTCAATGAAGTATTAACGTTGAACTTTTTATTAAAATATACCTAAAATTCTGAAAAAAAATTTCATACGGTAACTAGTAAATACTAACCTAATGAATACTATTTATCTAAATCATACCTACATGCTATCTATAAATTTTAGATGAAACATATATGTGAATCTTTTGAAGTTATGATGACAGTAATAACAAAAAGTGATGCATACAACAACTTTAAGCAATTAGTGAAAAAAACATTAGAATAATCCCTCTTATCAAAAAACATAATAAATAGAGCATCACAAAACAAGAAGCACATATTTATTCTATAAATTTAACAACACTACAACAATTAATATGTTAACACATAGAGTTATGCAACTAAATGAAGCGCATATAATAAAAAAAAATAAATATATGACACAAGAAGAATTTTTATACTACCTATGCATCATTGTTGAAGGTACTGCTACTTAATTTTAAAATTAATTTACTATAGTGTATTAATACATTTTTTTTATTACAGATGAACACTAAAATGTATTTTACAAAATTTAATTATAATTCAAATCCAAAAAATGTAATTTTTAATAATTATAAAAAAAAGTCAATAAAATAGAGGAAAAAACTAAACGTATTTTAAAAACTAATTTTAACGTTGAGTTTCTAATGTATAACGATTTCATACAAATCTATAATAATGAAATTGAAGTATATAAAAACATAATTAATTATGCGGTGGACAGTATTAATATGGACCCAAAATATTTAATTAAGAAAGAGGTGATAACCGATAATATAGTTCTACAAAAAAAAAATAAAAAAACTACCGGCATAGTGCATATTATGAGTTCGCCGGGCATACAGTCGGAAAAAAAATCTTAAAAATCCAAATTTTGTTCTACAGCTTTCAAAATGGTACCCCTTGACTCTAAATGACTTACTACCAAGTAGCTTTAAGTCCCCTGGTAAGCGAAATGAACCTGTAGTCGGGGATAAACGAGCGTTTTACCCCCGTAATCCTGCGCCTAGTACCGTTTTCTGGACAACTCGACCCCACCACCTGTGTTGTTTGATGATTATATGCATCCAAAATGCATTTCCCAAAAAGTGGACATCCTAACGAATTCAGGGATATGATTGGCTAAGTCGTAGTACAAAATCATGATTTTTAATGATGTATTAACCGAAAAGTATCTACCGCGGTGGTGCATATATTGAGTTCGCCTGGCATATAGTCCGAAAAAAAATCTTAAAAATCCAAATTTTGTTCTACAGCTTTCAAAATGGTACCCGTTGACTCTAAATTACTTACTCTATACTACCAAGTAGCTTTAAGTCCCCTGGTAAGCGAAATGAACCTGTAGTCGGGGATAAAAGAGCGTTTTAACCCCGTAATCCTGCGCCGAGTACCGTTTTCTGGACAACTCGACCCCACCACCTGTGTTTATGATTATATGCATCCAAAATGCATTTCCTGAAAAATTGTTTTCCTTATTTCCGGACTATTCTGTTTGTAAGTACCTTGAATGATTTTGATAATTATCGACAAAATCGTACCTACTTTAAAAATGCACACCGAAAAAAAAATCACAATCATATAGACAAATTTCCGGGTTGAATTGACAATGATCATGTTAATATAGAGCCGACAATATAATATTACTATCATATTGATAATAATAATGTTGATCATACAACTCTTGTAATTTCTACAATGTTTATTATCAATTTTAAAGTTAATAATATTATATTATTGACAATTGTAATATTGTTAATGATACAATTAATATTATAAATTTAACAATATTACAATCGTTAGTAGTACAATACTGACTATAGAATTGATAATAAACATTATTGTTATTACTAGAGTTGTATGATTAACATTAATATTATCAATATGATAGTAATATGTTTGTCGGCTCTATATTAACAAGATTATGGTCAATTCAACCCGGAATTTTATCAGTTTAATTGTGATTATTCTATAATAAGAGTTACAGTAAAATACAATAATTTTAAATTGTATTTTAATGAGGGCTTGAAACCGCTCCTGAAGAAATAGGTTAATTTTTTGGAACCGGTTACCGGTTATCGAGGTTTTTAGAAATAATGATAATCATTTCCCGCTTACCGAAATAAATTTTATAAAATGGGATTACCGGTTATCTATTTGGAAGCGGTTTTAAATCTTCAAAATTACCGGTTACCTCACAAAACCGTTTTTTTTTTTTTTTTTTTGTTTTGTTTTAATACCTACTTTTTTTTTTTCGTCAAACTTAACATATCATTTTTGAAACTATTCATGCATTTTGTTGTGGTATGACTGGAGATAGGAAGAGGCGTAAAAAAAAAGATTAAAAACAACAACTAGGTACATAAAAGTAGTAGGTATCTACTATCTATTGTTCTTCTTTAAGATACATAAAAACTTAAAAATATAAAATAAATGATAACAGTTTTATAATTATGAAAAAAATTAAAATACAAAACATTTTATCAAGTAAACAAGTTCAAACTTAGTACTTGAAAAACTCCAAGCAATAAGCAAAAAAAATAGTCTGTGTAGTATAAATATTAAACATTTAACATAAACATTTAAAATACATATTAAATTTCCAAACCCATCTTATTCGCTCTTATAATCATAATTTCGTTCAGCAAATCAGATGATAATGATGAAACAAGACTAAAATAAAATAGATTTTATTTTATCATAGATGGTGACAATATTTGGTTATTAACATTTGACTATTATAGTATTATCAGTTAGTAGTTAGTACGTATTATTTGGTATGGAATATAGCTGACGGGCGAGTAGGCACGGTAATAGCACTTATAAGTAATAGATGATTACACAGTTTTTTTTCAGTATTACTATTATTACGAACTAATGTAACGAACTTATTATTAAATAATGAATATCAACAGTCCCTGATTATAAGTTATAACGTACCTATTACCTAGTACTTGGTACAATATCGTACATGCAAGAGTTATATACTATTATATATATATGTATCAGCCCGCATTCGTCGATGTTTCTACCATTCGTATCAGTATTCAGTACCTATATTATAGGTGCTGACTACTGAGAATCTTTTGTTAGTGGGCCGATACGATTTTTTTGGTATTTTTAAATTTTAATACTTAGTAGTTCTAAAATAATCTATTTTAGTATTTTATAAATATTATTTTCTTCTATTTAGAATATTCAATATAATTTAAAAAAAAAAATTTTACGTTAATTGGTTTGAGATTTACGGTTTTGTATACTTCCGATTAATTAACCGGTTCTAAAAATAAACGGTTACCGTTATACATTTCCCCCTTTATCAAATTCCATGATTACCAGTAATTGATAACCGCTTCTCAAAATTGAAACTCGAGAACCGGGAAGCGGATACTAGTCCAAAAAGTACTCATGGTAACCGGTTACCGGGAAAAATCGGTTACCGGTTTCAAGCCCTGATACATACCTTTAATACAACTTATACAATCACATTAAATACTTCAAACCAAGTAGCTATTCAAATATAATACCTACTATACAATATTATAGTTTTTGATACATTATGGTACCTATGTATAAATATAAGGTGTATACTGTATATATTATATTTAAAAAGTAATCGATATATACATAATTGCATAATAATTATGATGTAGTAAAAATACTATACTTTAAGATTTTTTTTTTAAATAAGGTAATAGGTAATTTTATAAAATACAATTAAAACCATAAATACAAATAAAAGAAATTATTATTATTACAAAACATTTGTCAAAAACATATATTTTAAAATTTTACTAATTAATAGAAATTAAGAAATTTAAAAATATGCATGGCTTACATAAAGATGATTTTTTCCTAAATGATGACAGTGTATATCACATTTTAAAATATATGATACAGGTTATAACTAATATAATATAATTACTGTATACAATTAGAATATATATAACTAATACATTTTAAAAATATTCTAAATTTAATATATGGCTGAAGTAAATACAAGAATCTATAATAGTATATTTTTTTTATAAGGTAATATGTAGTTTTACAAAATACAATTAAAACCATAAATACAAATTAAAAAAAATTATAAATATTCCAAAACCTACATTTTAAAATTATACTAATAATACATAAATTAATTAAATTAATAGTACACAAATTAAGTACATACTTAAAAAGAATCATGGCTTACTTAAATCTGATAATATTTGTCCTAATGTGTGACAAGGTGTATCAAATTTTGTGTTTATATTATAAAAAAATTTTTGAATGAATAGCCATACGTAACATGATTCTGTTGGATACTCCAAATTAAATAAGTGGAATAATTTGAAGCAGACATCGATTGCATTTAATATTGAAAACACTTTATATTTTATAGAATCAAAAAAAATTACTATTTCTTTAGGATTTACTGGTGTACCAACAATTAATATGAATGGTTGAATTGGATTTTTCTCATTTCTCTTTACAGTTATATATTCTTCTAATTCGCACACAGAATTTTTAAAAATTATAAAACTATTCTGGGAATCTTTTATGGTATATTTAACTAAACATTTTTTTCCAGCATGATCTTTTGTGACTTTTTTGGATGTAGGTATAAATATAGCATGTAACAAATAAAATAAAACTGTATGCATTCCATCTATAACAACAAAAATATATATATATATATATATATATATATATAGTCAATTAAAAATTTAACAAAAGCCTACATTTATATTATTATTTGTTGATTAAGTTATTACTTTGACTTATGTTTGAATCATCATTCTTTATGGTTTCGAGTAATTTACGGCTTGTCACGTCTTTAATTTTTTCGTCCAGTTTTTTTAAAATTTTTGATGATTTTTCTTCAAATATATTCATTAAATTTGGGCTATCTGGATACAATGTATTGAAATCAATGTCAACCTAAAAAATGCATTCTGATTTTATCTCAAGTAACTGGAAAATTAGAATTCAATAATAATGCAATTATCTTAAATGAAATGTACCAGTCTGTAACCAAGAGGTTTTGTAAAGCCGTTCCAATTATTGAGTATGTCACCAGTATTCAAAGCTTTTTGGATTTCATTTAGCCTAAACTTTGTAGTTGCTTTCCAGTTTCTTTCTAGGTCAGGAAATGGACAGTTGGTATCGTGCCTAATTTGGTCAAGGATGTAATTTATATCTTTTTCTGGATCTGTGACATATTACAAACCACACGTCATTAAAACCACAATTAAAAATACAACATAAATAATGTTATACCATAAACAAATTTTCTTACCAAAGTGTACATCATGTTTTCGATTATTTAATTTCTCAGGAATTCTGATGCGTGAAATAGAAGATATTAGGCCACTTGATTTTAAGGTTCTCATAGAGTTATAAAACTTTGCATACAGTTTTCCTTTTGAATTTTTATTCGCTTCATATTTCATAAAGTATGTATCCTAAGGTTTAAGTTTTAAATTGATTATTAACAAACATTATAATTTATAATTTAATTTAAAATGGTACACCAAATACTTACTTTTACTTCTGAAGGGAAAATAGCAACAATTTGATTTCCAATACAATCAGCTAAACTAACTGACATTGATAATTTATTTGTTATTATATAATTAATGACAGTATCCACTAGTAATGATCTTATGTTATCATTTAATTTGTTATTTACTTTATAATAATCAATTATCATTGTTCCTGTATTAGATGAGTTTAATATATCATTGAGTTTGATGTTAATAACATTATTAGATTTTTTTAGAGGAAAAGTTGAAGTGGTCGATGGCATTGTTATGCTTGTTACAGTATTATGTGACAGAGACTTTTGCCAATTTTCTAAATGATAACTAAATAATATTTGAATTCCAATTGGATGTTTATTCAAAAGTCGATCAACATGTTCAGACTTCATTATTTTCAGCACCTTCATAATTTATCTACTAACTCTTCTAATAAAAAAATTAAATTGTAATTGAAAATTACTTACTATAATTACCTATATGGTATATGAAAATATTTAATCTATGAATAAACTAACCAAGTAATGTTTGATAAAGACAGTTTAGGCCCCCCCATTCCTTCAACAATTCAAATAATGGCTGAAGGTCATCCATCGGATACTCATATCCTTCCAATAATGGCATTGTAAGATGAGAAGGATTTTTATCTAAATCCTATTAATTTAAATTTTATTAATTCATTTAAGTGTTAAAATAGATTATAAATTATGTATGTATTTGATATCTATAGTTAAAATGTATTAATTGATATTACTAAAAATATAATAAGCCATGCACATGCAAGATGTAATAACAGTAGGTATGTTTTCCAAATAAATGGTACTAACTAGGCTTGAAGCATAATTATTTTCAATGTCATTAAAACCTTCTTGCAACAACATTTCAATATTATCTTGACTCTCCATTCTTAAATGAAAAATTTACTGTTAATCTAATAGGTAAAAAAAAAATATTATTTACAATATATATAGGGATATATAGGGGATACTTTTTACTTTCTACAATAAATAATTCATACAAATATTAAAATAATTCTTTTAATCGAATCATTAATTTCCCTGAAGAAGACGGTGTAATATTAGTGGGAGGTCCACTAAATTCATCAATTACAAAAATTAGAAAATCATTAATAGTAGTTCTATCAAAATCAACCTCAAACGCTTCAAAATGTGAATGAAAGTTAACTATTTTAATTTGTTTAACTAATATATAAATTTTAGCATTGGGGTCATTAAAAATTATTATTTCTAAAATTTCAAATAAGCACATTTCTTCTATAAATTTTGTCAAGTAATAACCTTTTTTATAAACAGTATCCAAAAATTCTATTTGGCTATAAGAAAAAAAATTCAAAGTTGTAACAGCAAGAGTGCTACATATTTTATCTACATTTAAGCTTCTTATTCTATGTTTAGGTTTGAATATGACTTCTTGAGTGTTGGGTTGCAACAGACTGTGAGCAAATTTATATTGATATTTTTTTGCCAAGGTAAGTGTGATATTTTTTCGAGATGATGTTGCACGAGCATACATTTTTATTTCTTTGTGTTTTCCTTCATACCTAAAACACCAATAATGCCTTGACGGACCTGAATTTTGAATAATTGTAGGATAATGGATTAAAAAATGATGTTTAGGTTTTAATGTACCTATCATTAAAGAGTCTAATATACATTGAATTGTGTTGACTAATTAATTGCCCAAGATATATAATTTTGCTGTCACTAAAATTATATGAAAGAAGTATATCAATTATCTTAATTAGGGTTAAGTAAAAATTCCATACTTCATCGTTTTCAGGAATTAAATCTCCTATCATAATTGAAAAAAAATGTACAAAAGTCATCATCTCCCTTGCTGACATCTTTAAATGGAACTTTTTCAAATGATTTTCTGTAATTTCGGGAGATATATTACCAACTTCAATTGGGCCATAATTGAAGTTTATTTTACGCTTATTTAAATTAGATAAGGTAATTAATTGTGCTGTTTCGATATAATATTTAATAATATGACACATATCATAATGACATATGCCCTCAAATACATCATGCATCACATCTATGCAATAATTTTCAGTGACATGGAAACTACTTATAGTGTTCAGAATCGAACTCTTGTAAATACCTGTCTCACTAAAATTAATTTTAGCCACATCTTCTGTATAATTTATAATATTGCGCATACATAAAATATTTTCTTCACAAAGTGAATTTGCCATAGACTTGTGTACCTTACAAAATCGACAATAATAATTAGAAGAAAAAGATTTGCTAAACTCAAGAACACTATTAAGACCCAAATTATCTCCTAGAACTAGACCAAGCATAAAATGTCTATGAAATTTACCAAAATTAGTAGAAATGCTTAATCCTTCTTTTTCAAGGTAATTAATTTCATCAATCAACTGTATTAGACATGGGTTATTTCCAAATTCTTTTAAATCGGCTGATTTAATCAATGCAGCTAAAAATATATTTGAAAGCCTGGAATTATTTTTAAGAAGTGGAAAGCTGTAATAAATAGCAGCAATGGATTGAAAATTGGCATGTGATCCTAAAGGGTTGTTTATCTCAAACTCATCTATATATAAAAAATATGGTATAACTATCTTTCCTTCAAACTGAGATATTTTTTTTTTCCATAATTTGCCTTGTACAAAATTTGTTAGAGTAATATTTGTGTTTTGAAACTTGTGAAAGTCGTTCATAAATAGTTTTAAAATTATTGCCATTTTCAAAAAATTTTTTAAATTGATGTTTTAATGGTAAAAGAGCACCTCTAGTTACTTTTTCATTGTAACAAATTTCCCCACCATGGTTTATGGCACATATTTCATTATTTATGGTAATTTGATTAACACTTGACAATAATTTATTCTCCATCAACCAATTGTTTAAGTGATATTCTGTGCTACAGTAAGAAAACGGATCTAATATCAATCTTTCTATTTCATTAAAAGTTGATCGTAATGTTGGTTCATTAATATTTTTTTCAACAGTATTTTTAAGAATAGAAGCTAAAGGTGTTAAAATATTTTCTTTTATACCAGATTGGATGTAGTATACATCACTCTTATTAAAATTGTTATTATTATACAAACTTACAATAAATTTAACAGTTGATTCATATACTAACTTAGTAGCATTTTCAAAGTTAAAAATATTTTGCTTTTCTTTATCAATTCTGTGTTCTACCACACTCTGGGGGGTTTGAGGGTCATAATTGACATTATTTTCATTTGACATTAACAAATCATTATGTTGTGCATTTTGTGAAATATTGTTAAATGTTATGTGCTTTCGTTTAAAATGTCGTTTAAACGAAGACAAGCAATTAAAAGTTTGAGAGCAGTTATTTTCTAAGCATGTATAAGCACTATCCAGTCTTAACATATGAATAATTTTATAATGCACCACTCATGCTTGCAAATCTCCAACAGCCATTTTACAAATAAAAAATATCATTTTTACTTACCTTTTAGTTTATGATTGAAGTTGAAAGTTACAAAAACTGCAAGTAATTAGGCTTGAATGTTCACACTAAATAGGTAATAATGGTAACGTAACTATGACAGAAAATAATTTACGAATAATTATGGTCACTTTGTATAAAAATAAAGCGTCACGACTCACGACTCACGAGTGCATATTGTAAAACACGTGCATGCAACCAGCTTGACAACACTGCAGGGACTTGACGTTAAAAACGTATTAGATTCTTATTGATATAATAATAATACTGTCAATATCAAAATAAAAATTATCATATTGTCAATTTAATAATAAATATTATTGATTTGATAAACTGCTTGTAAATTTATATTATAAATATATGAGTATTATCCTAGATTTCATTATAATCTTATTGAACAGTTTATCTATTCTTATTGATAATATATGGTGTTATTTCTACAAATATCATCGTTATTTTTATAAACTATTTTCAATTTAACAATATAAACATTGTTAACCGTTTACAATACTGTATTATTAAAATTACTAATGATATTTTTTTCAGTGCCGGTATTTCATTGTTAAATCTCACACATCTTAACTAATCTTAAATATTTGTAGGGTATTCGGAAAGAACCCATTTCTTATTGCTGTCCAAAGATCTTTCCAGCTGCTGCTAGTCATATGACTGTTTAAAAACCATAAGTAACAAGTGAGTTGATATTTGTTATATTTATAATTTTTCTTGTCTATTTAAGGAACTGTGTGGTCACGGGTCGATTTACCTTTTATAAATTCCTGTTGATGTTTTTCAACTATTTCTGAGACACATGTGTTTATTAAGGTCGCGGTAGAAGTGTTGTCATTTTATTGTCACCAGTATAAGTTATTTTTTTTTTAGTCAGTTAATTATCTTAGATATTTCGTCTTAAGTAGATTCATCTATATTATAAGGCTAAAATTATGCGTGTTTTCTCTCCCACTAGGTTTTTTATCCAGTCTCCTGAAGAAGCTTTAAAAATAACTTTGTTTATTTTTCATGAGTTACTAGTTTCTTATTTCTGTTTTTGACCATATTGACCTGTAGTTGAAAAATCCTTGTCTAATTGTTCCACTGCGTATATCCAAAGCGCTAATAGGAAAGACTAACTTATCCAATAATATTGTTAAGGATTTGATTTAAATATTAACTCGCATAAAATAACAAAAGAAACTTGATCCAATACTCTCACCTGTGACAGTTGATAGTAATAATTCGGGAAATTTTCATTAAATCCTATGATTTTAGCAGCTATTTAGGTTAATTTGAATGAAACCACATTTTAAACAAAAATTATTAATAATAAATTATAAACAGAAAAATGTCACGTCACAACACCTGTGTACCTAAATTGCCTATTCATAACGCCGTGTTACAAGAATGTAAACTCCTACAACTTAAACGATTATAATTTAATAACAGGTACATAAAAATCTATGAACAAAATCATGAACGAATTAGCATACTATTACAGTTAAATAGATAGAACTGATAATACCAATTTAAAGTTTAAGCGTGTTGTGATATAGGGTTATATCGGTATTTTTCATTCTGCCATTTAAATTATAAACAATATTAGGTAGTTAGGTATTTGTATATTTATTTACTTAATAAAACGAGTTAATGCTCGAAGACAGTTTTAATTATAAGTATCATAACAATTTAGTTATAAATGAATAATACTCGTAAGAAACTACATTTGTATACATCGAAATTCACATGAAAATATTGTGTTCCGAAATAAGAAACTTAAATATCATGTTGTCACTGGTCACTCAAAATCATAAATAATTAAAAATTATAAAAAATTATAATGATAAAAAATAAAGAATTAAATATAATATTTTTTTCAAAAAATATATTTTGTATTTATGTAAAAAAAATGGTTTATCTAGTAAAAACCTGTATACTTATTGCATTGTGCTGTAGTCACACATAATCAAAATAATAATATACTTAAGTGCTTTTTTCATATGCATTTCAACTACCTTACTCGGTAGGTAGTCTGTTAAGGATTTTTCGCAGTAGTCACCATACATGACACAATTATTTTATCATATTATATACATATATAACATGTACAATGTACATTAGTTATTAATTGCCATTTTTGTGTGGTCCAAGAGATCTTGCAATGGAATTTTGCATCCTGATTCTGTGATTTATACGTTATTCGGATAACATTTTTTTTTTCCAGTTATTATATCATCGTATGGAAGATATATGTCACAATTTCGTTTTTTTTGAGCTAATTCGTATATTAACATACTGTTGTTTGGTTAGTTTATTATTCACTAATAATGCTAAAGCTTCATCAATACTATATGGAATAGGTTTTTTATCTTCAACACAAGTATATGAATTCATAATTTGTTTTGCACGATTCGGACTTTTTACACTTTCCTTAAAAAGTTGACTTTCACACCTCTTCCCAGATAGTTGATACTTAGCTGAGGCTGCAAAGCTGAGTTCCGGAGAAGTATACGATTTTACTAAATGTTTCACTTTATTTATTTTGGTTCTTTCGGCACACTCGTTAAAATTAGTTTTTGGTCGACCCACACTAATTTTCGAACTACTTTCTTTGTCTGTAGGTAATATGAAATTTTTTTTAACCATTCACTATTTTTTTCTATAAATCTGTCATAGGTTCTTATTCTTACTTACTGACCATTTTTTTCAAGCACAGTTGTAAAATTTAAACCTTTGCGTTCATTTTTTCATTATATGTATCATACCATACCGGCGTATTATATATATCTAATATTTTATGCAGTAAAAATTGTCTTGATTCAACGTTTGACGGTTTAAGGGGTCCTTTTTTTCGTAAAATTTCAAAAAGACCACGATAAGTTACTTTTTGAGTAATATCTCGACTACATCCAGCTACAAAATAAAAATCACGTAATGAATTGGGGCAAATTGGGGCAAATGGAAATTATGTATTATTTAAGCCAAGTATGTCTACTATAAGTACCATGTAATGATAATTTGTCAAAATTTGTAAATTTTTAGTTATCATCTATTGTTTAAAATAAAACTAGTATTGTCAACAATTTTGAAATTTATTGTTAAAATTTAAAAGTTTTGAGTCTATATACTAGCTAATTTTAACTACTTACCTTCATTTAAATGATCCATTGTATATATTAAAAAAAAAACTCTTGAAACTGCACAGTTGTGTTCACAATGATCGTCAAAAGCTGAGTAACACATAACGCGCGTGGTCACAAATTTCAGATAATATTTTATGTACTATTCACTCAATATCAGACGCTAATAATTATATTAATGACCATTTGTATCTACAAACCGTTTACTTATCGTCTTATATAGGTTTCCCTAATATATATAAGCTCCAATTATAATTGTTGTCAGCAAGCTAAAATTACATTCATTACGTCACTTGGAGCGATTTTTCGGTTGCCTATGAACCCGTTCACTGTCAGACGCATTGATTCCCAGTGAGGGCAGTCGAAAATTGTATGTTCGGCCGTATTCTTCGGGTGCTGGAAGTAGGGGCAAGCCAAATACGCGCTTCCTCCGGTACAAATAGGACCTAGGCAGATTCTTTATAAATAAAATCTTTCATTTCTTTTTTCATGAAATGAGTTACTTCATTTAACGACACAATGATCCGTTTATTGATTTCAAAAGTTAAATTATTTAGTTTTATAGCATAGACCATTTTAATTTTTGTTTCAATTGTTATATTAGCATCAAAAAAAGCCAATGCTGCTGTTTCAGGTGCTAAATACCACAAATGTCCACATAATTTTTTTAAAGTTGATTGAGAAACGTTTTAATGAATTTTTTCATAATCGATGAGACTTTTCAAAAATTGTAAGTCTTGAAATGGAGCTAAAGCGGCAATAGGTGCACAAAACTAAGCTTTAATACCTATATATAATCGTATAAGAAATATAAAAATTGTACGGATTGATTCTTCTTCATAATTTTTTTATTTAAATTGTTTATGGAACATAAATATTTTTAATGAATATATGGCCTTGGGCATTCAACGAGCATGATGCATTGCACCAGGACACTGAAAAGATATGCCACGAGTAGGGGTACCACCAAGAAATATTACAGCTAATTTCAACAATTCTCTGTAATCGTCTCTGTTATGAGATTTGCGTAATTGGTCCATATAAAAAATTAACATAACATTAGTTACATCATTTAATTTTTCACTGACAATTATATCTTCTATTCCTAATTATTTACATTAAGTTTTGGCCAAAATTGTTGAAAACGTTTGAAAATTTGAATATCTGGGCCAAATGTAACTCCAAAGTTTACTTCAAATGCAGATCTAAGTATAATTTCGTAAATGTGATGCCTGCAAGGAAAGTATAAAATATCACGTTCTAATAGCTGTTCCAAGATTATACATGCTCCTTTTAGACGACCTGTATTTGAAGATGTTGTATCGCAACATAAAGCTTGTATATTATCGATAAGGCCCCATTCTTCAAGTGCTTTAAACACTGCTTCCGCTTGATTTTGACCAGTTCCGGATATGAGCTTAGGAACACTTAACAACTTTTCAGAATTTTTAAAAGAAACAATTACTGGTAAACGATCAACAAGCTCCATGTTAAATCTGAGAGCAGCTTACCATCCAAATGAACAACAACTGGACCTACTTCTGATGTATTGAATTCATTTCGAAGTTGACCTGCTCTGTCCTTACGTAAGCGCTGGCGTATTTTATTAATAGATGTCCAGTTTAAAATTAAATTATTTACACGTATACCTAACGCTTCTACAGTGGCTGTTAATATATGAACTGCATCGCGATCACTTATTTTACACCTATCCAATGCGATTGCAAGTTTCGGTGTTATAAAGTTTTTATTACCTCTATTTTTAAATGTAGGAAGGTTTGGGAATTTGGAAGTTTTTCCACATCTAACGGTTTGTTTGGAATATTTTCTCCAGCATCAGAATCGCTATCAGAACTTGGAGAAAAAATTACTTCGCTGTCAACAGTACGACCTAAAATAAATTAAATTTTTACAATAATTTTAAATGGTTTGATAGAAAAGTACAATCTTACTTGTTAGTTCAATTTCTGTATATGCTGTCTTTTTTCGTTTTGTAACTGCTTCCAACCGATTAATTTTTCCTTCTTCAGTTTTTTGTAAATTTTTATCTCTACCATGCATACAACCAATTCTACCTTTTTGTCTTTGAGATAGCAAAAATTGTCGATCTATTTCTATTTTAATAATATCCAATGCATTCATATGTGCAATATCAAAAAGATCATCCAGCTCATTCACAAAACATTCTTGTTTTTTTTATTTATTTCGGTTGTCCTCACTGCATGTTTCTGTAAAGTTCTCCATTCTTCGTATAATGATTCCAGTTTCTTAATGTTATTGTATTCTTGTCTAACTGGAATGCGAGCCTTTTGCCAAAATACAACTATTTCTTGGATAACAAGTTTTGCACTTTCGTGTAAGTTGAGTTTTACTTTACGCATGCTGAAAAAAGTACACGTAATGCCTGTCTTTTTGAAGGTAATTTACTACCAATAATTTGATTTTCATCACTACCAATCAAAAATATTTTTTCTTTCTCATGAAGAATAATATTTAATGTAGATGTTGAAGCCATGATTAAAAAAAAAATTTACAATATTCGGTAAGCTATCTATCGCGGTCCGCAGTGTACTAATCTATTATCATAATATTTCATACAGATATCTAAACATTTGCTATCAGTTATATACTGTAGTCTATTTTTAAAACGGTTTCAAATCGTTAAAATATTATAAGATAATAAAATAAAATAATTTTATTACAATGCGATTATTTCAGATAGTAAAATAATTAATTAATTAATTTTGATTAATCCCTGACGCCGAAGGTTTTCATAAGATTATATTGTGGGCCTATTACGAATATCTAAAGAGCCATAATTAAATGATTCAATTCGATTATTTAATGTTTCAAAAGAAAAGTAATTGAAACTAAAAATCATTTATTTTATAATCAAACCAATATCAAATTTAAGAACTCCTTCCAACATGTCATGCATCATGTCGACACTGAAATTGTCTGTTACTCTGAATTAAATGAAATCATTCCAAACCCAATGTTCTTTTATTCCAGTGCAAGATAAACCATTGATAAGAAGATCAGCTGCATAATTTACTTTATTTCTCATCAATTCATCGAGTTGTTATGTTTGTTCATGACAAACGTGATTTAAACATCTGCAAATTTGACATGGAAATTTGGCTACAAAACTTTCTGAAAATCCTAATATAGAGTTAAGACCTAGATTATCTCCAAGAATTAATCCAACCGAAAAATATATATGATGTACTTCGTCATTAATTTGTACAATTATTCCACTAGTTTCCAAAAAGTTAAGTTCTGTTATCAAATCTTTAAAGACTAATTTATATCCATATATTTTTTTATAATCAGTTTTAAATGACGAAGCTAAAAAAATATTGTCTATAGAAGAAGCCAATTCAGGTGGTAAACACGCTAATGATATATATACAGCACCTAATTTTTGAGAACCCGAATGGGAACCTAATCTATCATTTACTTCAAAGTCATCAAAATAGACAAAAGGGGGAAATATTTTTTTATCATTATGAAATTTTAACTTTTTTTTCCATAATTCATATTGAATGTAGCTATAAATGATAGAACCTTCATATAACTGCAATAAATCAACATAATTAAGTAACATGTTAAAAAAATTAGAATGTTCAAACAATTTTTTGAATACTTGTCTTAGGGGGATAAAAAGTTGTTTTAATTTCCTTGGGTTCTAGTACAACAACACCATTAAAAATTCGATCATTTTGACCAGAGGTCTCCAACCTAAAGGGCCCGCCAAGCTAATTAATTTTTTGAAAATAATATATTAATTTTCATTATTTTTAATCTATTTTTTATTGAATTGATTAATAATATAAAATGAATTTATAGTACTATTCATAACAACTTATAATGTAGTTATACATATATGCTAACACTAACTAATAATAGATAAACTCGTCAATCACACTTATCTGACTTATATTGTACTCGAAACTTACTCGATGGTGAGATAAGATACGATCGACTTTTACTGTTGTAATAATAACGCTATCGAACGTATAATCGACGGGTTTTTCTAGCTGCGCGAGTCTACTATAATGTATCGAGTATATAATATAGAATCAGTTTTTATAATTATTGCAGTTTAGTGTTGTTTCTTTTTTTTTTTTTTTTTTTTTAACACACTTCTAAAAATGTTGGGCCTCGATGCCAAAGAGTATATCAAATTTGGCCCTCCGTAAAAAAAGTTTGGAGACACCTGATTTAGACTATTAGCAATTACAATGTGATTTGGTCTGATTAACAAACCCATTTCATCAAAAATGTAAACCCGTAAATACCCTGTTTTCATATTAGGTACAAAAAATATCTTTGAGACTTGAAAGTGCATTTTAAATTAAAGACAGGTCAGAAATAACATAAGTTATATTAGATTTTGACATACAATCATTTAATTTTTACTTTAGTGTAGATATAAATGAACTATTAAATTTTTGGATATCATCAAGAAGGGTATCAACTTTATTTCTAGGAATTGAACTACAGCTATACCACATTGAAGCCAAACCAATTGCATTTTTTGTTATTAATTTATTCAGGAGATATTCAGTTATATCTATATCACTTGTTTTTGTTTTCTTATTGTTATTAACTGTACCCTAAGTACCTCCTGTAATATTACTATCTACTGAATTTAAAAGTGAACTTTTGGGATCTATTAAGTTGGTTGGATTGTTAAATGTATCTGTTTCTGGGGAATTTGAATGGCTATTGATATGTTTTTTAAATGAGATTAAGCTACCAAAGGTCCTAAAACAATAATGTTCTTTACATAAAAACTCTTTTATATTTCATTATATTTTATATTCCACATCATGGAAAATATTTAAATGCACATATAAATGAAGTGGAATTTGAAAATTGTCATTACTAATAAAATTAATTTAAATCGTTTTGGAAAATTTAAACACTTGCCAGTAAATAACCATTTTATTTGGTCAAAGCTGGAAATAGTTTTATGTTATTTAAGGACTGGTTTAACCTAAATTTTGTATTTCTTTCCAGATTTGATTTAATGTTCTATCTAGTTGAATATTATTTTTTAACCAGTTTATAGAATCTTCAAAATCTATGATATAAATTACATAAAATATTAATATTATGCCCTGTTATGTTCAATAAATTAAAATACCTTTTTTATTTAAATTAGTACGTATTATTTTCAACGGTTTCGGAATGGTTTAGTTTTTTATTTTGAGTAATTCCTTTAATTTCTTTTTTCAAATGACAATATTTGCAATAAAGTTTGCCTCCATTTTTGCTAATTGTATTCTCTACTTTGCAATATGGAATAAAATAAGTTTCCCAACTTTCAGTGGGGAATAACTCCTCAATAAATTATTTAAAAAAAAAGAATTTTAATATATAATTCTTAAAATTCTAAAATATACTTTGTTGAAAAAAAAGTTCTGAACATAAGCACTAGGTAACATAGATACCTATTGATTAAAATAATACCATATATAACCAATAAATGTAATCAACATTAACAGCGATTTGATCCTCTTTTAATCTCTTTGCTTTCCATTATCGTTTTAATTTTTCATTAATTAACCTGTACTAATACCACTTGTTGTGATATCGTATGTTGTTATTGTTTTCGTCGCCATTGAGGCACGTATGTTTTTATTGTTTTTGTTCTTTTTTTCTCGCCTTTACGGCAATTTTGGTAATGTCACTCGTAACATTCCTGGTTGCTCGGCGCTAATGTGGCCCGAGCTTCCTTCATTATTAAGCAAATATATTTCACTAAATTAAACCACCGTATAAACTTGTGTTACGTCATTCCCGTTCTCCTTGCAAGTACCTACTCGTGATCCGGAGCCTGCGCTGGAGAGTTGCGTCGTTCAAACCATGGAGATTCCAGGTCATTGGTATTTGGTCGAATCCTGAATTGCGTAAGTCCACTTTCTATTAGCAATCTGCTCGTCCACTCGTAGCGTAAGTCCGCCAGCACCCGCAGGGGTGTGTGTGAGAGGTCGCCCAAGGTCGTCGAGACGTCAACAACGGCAACAACCTCGGCCAGACACGTATACAGGGGGGGGGGGGTTGCGGTTGAAACTCCCCCGAAATAATTTCTTTAAAAAATAAATAAATATGTAAATAATAATTATTATTATTAGAAGTAGATTTTACAAGTTTTACTTAATATAGGTAGGTATTCAACATTTAAAAGATTATAAAATAAAAATATTTCGAATGATCGATACGACGATACATCAAATAAAATAAATAATTATTAAACAAATTGTTAATGAATGTAGGTACCTAATCAGTAATCTTTTAAAAGAACTATAAAATAATATTATGTTGTTTCACATCGTGATATGAAACAAAACAATATTATTTTTAATTTTTGAATATTGTTTATTATATATTAATTTTTTTAATGAAAATTATATCTTTATTATATAAGTATAATGATATATTTGTAATTAAATATTAATAATGTAATAATTACACTAACTACGTTTTAAAAATGCTATGTGGTTGTCAGTAATATTGTAATCTAGGGTTATTTTTCCTAGGGTTGTGGATTTTTTTCAGGGGATTTTTATTCCGTTATCACCAGCTATATCTATGTTATAGTTCAGTGCATAGGTAATAGGTATACTGTAAAATTATATGTATTAATTAAAAAAAATACAAAATAATTTATATCATACCGACATAAATTGTTTCCTTAAAACGAATACAAGCATACAGCTTATGATATTTACCATATTTATCGTAGGTAATATAAAAATTTAAAAAATTAAATAAATTCCATCTGTCTCCGTCTAGTTTCTTCTGCTCCTTGGTATATAACAAACTCCAACCTCCACAAAGACTTTCAAATACTAACCCTACATCAAATCTCTAAAACATACTACATCAGATTTCATAATAAACTCCAATCACACACTAATCCACTAATCAAAAAATTATCATCTAAAACACTACCCGACAACCCTCGACGAAGACTAAAAAGAAAATGGTGTAGAGATCTTACATTAATAATCACTAGTCAATAACTAACGCACGTGCTGGGTGTTATCAATGGATAACTGCCCAACCTTAATATTCACCGTCAATTTTATATTCTCTTCTTTTTTATCAAATCTAATTATTGCACAAAAAAT